GAGGCGTTTTACTGTACAGTTACGTACAAGAAACCAATCCTAAATGCCAGAAGCTCCTATTATTCATCCTCAATAGATGAAAATAAAAACAACCACAAGTTCCTCTTAAGCACTGTGGCCAGGATGACAAAGAGTCACAGCTCTACTGAACCATCTATTCCTTTAAATCTTAGCAGTAATGATTTTATGAGCAATCTTCACAAATAAAGTTATAACCATCAGGGGAAAAAATCATCATCTCCTCCCCACAAATAACAAAGATGCACTGTCTAGTCCAGTTGCCTTAATACCAACCTATTTATATTTTAACAACTTGTCTTCAATAGTCTCCTTCTCTAAAGCATCAACTTGTCTACTAGACCCTATCCCAACTTTTTTCCTCTAATTAACAGCTCCATAAATTAAATCAGATCAATATGTCTATTAACTGGCTATGTACCACAGCCTTTTAAGGTAGCAATTATTAAACCTCTGCTTAAAAAGCGTGGTCTTGATCTCGATGTTTTAGCTAATCATAGATCCTCAACATCCTCGAAAAAGCTGTTGCCAACTGTTATGAGATTACTTACAAGAAATGTGTGTTTGAAGACTTTCAGTCAGGATTAAGAATCTATCCCAGCACAGAAACAACCCTTTGAAAGCTACGAATGACTTATCAGATAGATTCCAATTTGTTAATGTTTACAAAGTCTTTTGTGTTATTTTATACGCTTCCATCGGGCAACATCATCAGAAAGCACCACATTCTGTACACTGATGACACCCAACTGTACACATCTATGAAGCCTGATGAATCGAATCACTTCGCTAAAATGCTGGAACCTTTTAAGCACAGTGAGGCCTGCATTACTTGAAACTTTTCATTTCTAAATTCAGACAAACCGCTTTCTTCTTATGTGTCTTGAGATAATGTATGTTATTATTTGGCGCTATACAAATTGAATTGAATTGAATTCAAATTTAACTTTAACTTAAGTGCACTATCAAAGTTCCCCCAGCAGTCTAGACCTATAGCAGCATAACTAAGTGATGGGTCAGGACTCACCTGACCCAGAACTAACTATAGACTTTATCAAAAAGGAATATTTTAAGTTTAACTTTAAATGCTGAGATGGTGTCTGCCTCCTGAACCCAGAGTGGGAGCTGGTTCCACAGGAGAGGAGCCTGGTAGCTGAATGCTCTACCTCCTGTTCTACTCTTACTGACTCTATAGGAACTGCATGAGAGCTGTGTATGAAAGATGTCAACAGGAAGTAGTTGTAACAATGTGGCCAGTGAGCAGAGCTGCCATTTTACTGTGACGCAAATGTGGATCATTAACAGCAACTTTTAACATGAGGCACAGGCCAGTGACCTTGTGCTATACACCTTTAACTCGTAAAACTGCAGCCAACCCATTATTGTCTTCTGCTGTAACCCCACTTCTCTGTGTTTGGATCACCTCTGACATGTATCTCATTCATCACTAGTGCAGTGTCCCAGTGACGAGATGATGGGTGTGCATGTAGAGTTATTGTACTGTGAGGTTTTAGAGCCTCTTAGTCTCTCTCTTTTGTCAGAACAGGATTCCACAGGGATAATGCTCAGATTGTCTTCTCACCTCATCTTTGTTCTGTCAACATTTGAAGATTATTCTGCGAGCATAGTTTAAGACGTTATCTTTTATCTTGTTGTATCAAACAATGTTGTTCAGGTTCTTTGTTTTAACTTCAAGCTAAAATCTGTTTTATAGTGCATGTCTGCCAATGGTTGAACAAAAGTATGTGATATTAGTGCATGAGTGAAACTCAAACAGTTGCATGCCAATTTTATTACATTTGTTTTTAAAATGTTCACTTGTTTGTACATATATGAATGCAGCAGAATAAAACCTTAACTTTTCATGTTACAGA